CAAACTATCTCATTGGCATGTCAGCTGACGGGCAAAACACCTCCTGAACATTTAAGAGCTCATTCTACCAGAGCGCTGTTAATCTCTACTGGCTTCCAGCGTGGAATAGAACTTCCTCACATCTGCCGTGCAGCTACATGGTCTAATGCATCGACTTTTGTGAAACACTACTGTCAGAATACTGTATCTGGGTGAAGAATGCTGCTGCTTTTGGCAGAGCGATCTTGACTTCCTTTCTACCGTGACATCCCACCATCCGGTAAGTGAGCTTGTTAGTCAACCAATTGTGTGCATTCACAGAGGTCACGAAGAAGAAAGAGAGGTTACGTACCTGTAACCATAGTTCTTCTAGTGGTCCCCTCTGCAAATCCACACATGCCCATCCTCTCCTCTGTCTGTCACGTTTTTTATATAGGCCTTTGACAGCAGCGGGCTCTTAAAGGAACTGAGGGGACTTTTGGAGCGCAGAGCATGCGCTCCATGGGGGAATGTCCTACTAATCACATGTCTTGTAAGTGCTAGAAACTTTCGAGACATCTTGCGCAGGCATGCAGAACAGCGCAGGACAACCCAATTGTGTGGATTCACAAAGGACCACTAGAACATCTATCATGGTTATAGGTAGGTAACCTCTCTTTTCTTGAGATCAGATTTAATTGGCCAGTCATATTACAACTGTTCTAAACAGTCTTTGATGGAAATCTGAAGTTCAGCCAGTTCCTACATGGAACACTTTTTGTTTCATAAATATACTGAGATTTCCAAAACTGTGCTTTTCTTATCTGTAAGAGTGACCTCCTGCAACCTGTTCTGGTAATAAAGTTTTCCATCCCCTCCAAAGTTCTTTGTGACTAGCCACAAATAGTAATATAACAAAGCTTTATAATGTATATCTTCTTCAAAAGCCAGACAAAACCTTTTTAGAAAACACAAGAGTGAAACTTTTCCTATCACAGAATTTCCCTACCACTAATTTGGATTAGTTTCCCAGATTCTTTCTGGCTGAGAATGATTACTAAGTTCCTAAAGCAGTTGCCTTTCTAACACTAAAGGAGGGAAGAGATGTGTTACTCCAGGCCATGTTTTCAAGCAGCATCTTCCGAGATACACTGACACGTGGGAAAGATTGCCATCCTACTTTCCCGATTCTTTCCCCCAGCAAATATCCTCAGGACTTTTTAACCCATACAGCTGAGCTCCAAGACTGGAAATAGACATGGAGTGGGGTAGGGTGGAAGGGCAGCATATGCCTGTGTGTAGAAATGACACCAGCAGGAAGAATACAGTGGTGCCTCACTAGACAATGATAATCCGTTTCACTGAAATTCCTATTTAGCGAAATCATTGTCTAGCGAAAAGCATTTCCCCATTGGAATGCATTGAAACATGTTTAATGCATTCCAATGGGGAAGAATCGTTGTTGTCTAGCGAAGATCGGCCATAGGAAAGCTGCTTTGCGAACCGCCAATCAGCTGTTTAAATCGCTGTCTTGCGAAGCTTAGGTCCCAGAGACACCTGTTTGCGAGCACAAAGGGAGCTGTCAAAATCATCGTCTAGCGAAAATCAGTTTGCGAAGCAGGGACCAAACATTGTCCAGCGAAGTTCCCCCATAGGAATCACTGTTTTGCGAATTGCTATAGCGATCACAAAAAGCCAATGTTGCTCCTTGCCAACATTTGATTCCTCATGCGGGGTAACTGTCTATCGAGGCACCACTGTAATAGGAACATTTTGCTCCTTCCCAACATTTGATTCCTCATCTGCTATATTAAAACTACTTTGTCAAATACAAGTTTGGAGACATGTATTTGCCAAGGTGGTCTGTAGTTGCTCTTAAAAGAGTGAAGGAAAGCTCTGTGACTTGAAAGTCACTTGGTAATGGTTGTAGTGGGGTTTTTGGGCTCTTTGGCCGTTTTCTGAAGGTTCTTCTTCCTAACGTTTCACCAGTCTCTGTGGCCGGCATCTTCAGAGGACAGCACTCTGTGGCCTTTTGTCCTCTGAAGATGCCGGTCATGGAGACTGGCGAAACGTTAGGAAGAACAACCTTCGGAACATGGCCAAAGAGCCCGAAAAACCCACAACCATTAGCTCCCAGCCATGAAAGCCTTCACGAATCACTTGGTAATGTTTTCCTGTGCCCAAAGAGCAGTGCTGCATTTTTTGCACCTGAGGAAAGAATATGCTGCCACTCATTTATTTGACCAGGTGAAGTGTTTTAACAGCTAAGAGATTTTCTCAGACTAACTGTGGTATTGCCTCTATCTAGCTTAGCAGGTTCTTTTAGTTTCTTTTAATAATTCTTGAAACAACTGGCCACTGTAGAAGGGGACATTGTTACTGGTCTGTTTCAGCCTAGCCTTCGAATCCCTTAGCTTTTAGACTCTGACATACCTTAAGCTAGTATGTTGTAAAGCAAGCTGGGTAGTGGAGCCAGGCATCAGTAGTGCAGTTTTCCAGGTTGCCTTCCAATAGAAGAGCACATTTGTGCGGCCTTGTCCAAGCTGCACAGTCCCAGTGCACTACAGAAGGAAGGATGGGTAAACCTGAGTATTTGATACCTAGAAAACTCTGGGAAGGGTTGCCTTAAATCAGGTTCAACTTGACAGCACATAATTATTAGTGTTGTACAGATTCCATAACTTAGTTGAGAATGCACAAGTAAGGACTACCATCCTCTTTATTACTGATTAAGAAATTCTTGAAGTAGGTTCTGTTCAACTGAGTTATAAGATGTCCTCCTTAGAAGCTAGGAAGATTTGCAGTTGATTTTGCATATAGCGTATGTTGTCCTTTTTCTGTTTATGAGTCACATTCACCAACATTCATTTCACATTCATTAGTCTCAGGACTTGACACATAACATCATTGCATATGAATGGCATACATGAAAGAAACTGTTTATGTAATCTTTCATTATGTGAGAATATAATTTTTACTTGTGTATGGGGGGAAAAAAGTAAAATAAATGTAGGACAGTACTGGTACTTGTGGAAAATGCAGACTACAGTTTCAAAGAAGTGTCTTCTAGATCCTGTTTGATTATAATCTCTGGTTGATAATGTCTTGAGAGAGAAAACTTGCTCAGTATCTTTCAGCTTTATCTTCAAATGCCCAAATGGGAAAAATCTTTTGGTTTGCTATGTACTATTAAAGAATCAATCTAGACTGTTAGCGGATCACTGCCATCCTGTCTGCCAGTATAAATTCATGTCCAGGATAAATTTAGTTTATTGACCAAAAGACAGCAGCTTTAGTAACTCAAGGTTGCTAAATGTTTGTTACCTACCTTGGGTTCCTATATAGAATGGTAGGATATTAATAAGGAGGTAAACAGATAAATGCATTTCTTTATTCCATCCTTCCCTAACCCAGATATTTTAGATCACGAATCCCACCAACCCCAGGCTTCCTGCCAGATTACTGGGGATGATGAGTCCAAAATTATCTGGAGCATGCCAAACTAGGGAAGGTTGCTATGATCTTTTCATCTTTAGGAATTTGATCCATTTACTTTTCTCTCTCCTCCATTCCATGTGCATGGTTTACTATGTATTAGTTATGTTTTGAATGGGATTTTCTTTTCCTCTAAAGTGTTTCTCAGCTCTGTCATGTATTTTTCCAGTGGCCTTGTAACTTCACCTTGATGCAACAAAACCCCTTGTAATTAATCCTTTCAGTTTAGAAAGTTGCTTAAGTTTCAACATACTAAAGCTGTAGTGTTGTTAGTGAAAGCAGTGGGTATAATTCTTATTCCGACAGGTTTAATTGCTCAGAATGTTGCCTATCAGCAACAGTAAAGAGAAATATTAATGGCCTTTCCCTTTTATTCTGCCATAGGTCTTCCGGCCCCGAACTCCACCAGAAGCAATAGCGCTATGTAGCCGTCTGCTGGAATATACTCCCACAGCACGCCTGACTCCACTGGAAGCATGTGCACACTCCTTCTTTGATGAACTACGGGACCCAAACATCAAATTACCGAGTGGACGAGAGAAACCTGCACTCTTTAACTTCACCACTCAAGGTAGACACGGAAGCATTAGAGAAAATTCTATGCCAAAATTTCCTGCAGCATAAATTTAGCATCATTTCAGGTAGTGAAGATAGAAAAGTGGAATAATATGGGGGCATTTGGAAAGAATTCAGACTGTGGACTGTATAAGAAAAGTGTTGAATAGATGGAGTGGTACAGGAAACCTACATATGTACTAAGGCTGTGAGACTTATGCTTAGCAAGTTGGTGTTTGTGTCAGAATTGTCGTTATTAAAAGGAAGCTCTGTCGCTGTTTGGAGATAACGTTTCTTAGATAAGGAATTGGAGTAACAGAGGTGTCACCCCATGCTCCTTGATTGTTTTTTTAAAACTGGAGATTGCATTTAATATCATGGGTAAAATAATTTAGAACACTGGGTTTCTCAGTTTTAGAGAATTAATTGCAGAATGAGTTGAGGACTGGATTCAAAGATATGATTCCCCTTCCAGGGTCCTTATACCCTCAACACTTGTCCTGGAGCGCTGATAGGTCTTTCAGATAGCTGTCTGACACAGAGACACAGATGGACAAAATCTTATTGCCGCAGCAGAGTTATAGCTTTGGATTGAACTGCCAAGTCAGTAGGGTTTTTTTTTCAGTACCATGGCATAGTTTTCAGTTCTGTTTTCAAAGGTCACATAGCTGATCGAATGTGAGTGAATTTCAGATTTCAGATTTGGTTTTTAGGTCTTGGATATGGCAGTTGGCCTGCAAATTGAGTTTTAGGGCCAAATTGCAGTCCAGCAAATGAAATTGCTATTTGGCAAAAGGGCCGACAGATCAAAAAGCTAGAATGCCGAGTGTTAAATGAAAACATAATTTGTGGCCTACTGTCTTTTGAAACTGTGTCTGCAACCCAATTACTGAAATTATAATTGATTAATTATGTTTTTTTATTTCTTTAAATTGTTAGTTAAATTTCCATTGGAATGATACATTTCCTCCTGCATGAGATGGCTGTTTCCATCTTCATTTTTAATAAATCTTATGTTTAAAGATAGCTTCATAAACTGATTGAGCAATGAAAGCTTATTTATTCATTAATTAGAATAGTTATTGGGAAATTATTATTCTGGCTATTTAATTGATTAAGATTGCAGCCCTTTACTGGCTTAGCTTTGAGTATGCCATGTTGTACTTAATACCGTTATGCTTGAGCAGAAATATATACACGTTTGCCCTATGAAACAATTAGTCTGAGATCTTGGTCCCTCTGTCTTGGAAAAGATGCTGTTGGAGTAGTGTTATGGTACAAATACTGCAGCTGTTGAGGCTACTAGAAGTGTGTGCTGCAAAAAAATGCAGTGTGTTTCTTTTTCTTCTTCCTTCCCTTTTTTCTTTTTAAAAAACACAAGAAGGAAAACCCTCTTTTGGTTAATTTTGTTCCAGATATTTCATTCATGTTTCCTGACATTAACCTAAATAAGGCACTACAGAACCTTTACACATATGAAAAGACAAACACATACTTCTAAGCAACTTGGTTTTCTTACATATCATAGACTTATAATTTGCCTCAGTGCCATTACTTATTTGAGCTATTTCAAATGAATATTCTAAAATCTTTCATACATAACAGCCTCGCTATACGAGGCAGTAATTTTCCCGGGAAACCCCCTCGCTATGCGAATTCATCGTTAAACGAGGCATTCGCTCAGCGAGGCACCACTGTATTCTAAAATCTTTCATACATGTAGTTATTTGTGACATTTTTGTGTATGTCATTATAAGAATGAGGAGTCTTCACTTCCACATCTTTGTTGTATATTTCAGAGGAAGTACAGCAATCACTAACATCATTAATGTTGCCCCTCAAACTTAATACTTCTACTTGTGTTTCTGTTGTTCCTTAAAGGTAGCAATCTCAGAATGCAGTCTCTCCTTATGGGTGCCTACCAAACAGGAGAAAGAGTTACCACAAAAATAAACTTTAGCAGGATATGGGTCACTTCCCTCCCTCCCATATCCCAATCATCCCTTCTACCCCCTGAGGGAAGGACGATATCAGCAGCTTGCCCTGTCCTATAGGCTAAATGAGATAGTGCCATTTAGATGATGATCCCTCACCAGTTCCATCCTTTATGGCCCTAATGTGGATGTTGAAGTCATCCAGGACCGTTGATCTGGATGTTGAAGTCATCCAGGACCGACATTCTCCAGAAATATGTCCTGGAACACTTACTTGGCTTAGTCGGGGTGTTGTTAGGTAGCAAGGCTGATGGTATATTAGCAGCACTTCCAGCCTCTCTCCTTACTCAACCTGGTGGTAGAAGCCCTTGGAGAGAGATGTTTCTTGGTGAGAAGGAGGATATCTCTGTTGACCAAGCAGGTGATTCAGTATAAATGTGGTGGTGAAGATTATTATAGCAATGTACATTCCTTTTTCCTCCAGTGACAGAGTCTTCTCATTGCACAATATCTCATCTTTCATGTAACCACCATTATCAGAGCACTTCTTCCCCTGTGTGTGTCTCCCCACACATCTTTCAGCTAGTATCTTGTATGCTCTACACTCATTCAGAGTTACTCATCCTTTCTTCAGTCGTTTGGGTAGCTTGTCTGTAAGTACATTACCAGCTTTCACCCTGATCATCTAGTCATCTTCTACCCAGGTTACACCAAGAAAGCCATGTAGACTTCTTTCTCCCAGCTTGCTTGTCTAACCTCTCATGTAGGAGGAGTACTTTTTAAAGAATTTATTTTGCTCTGAAGTATACAAGATGTGCTGATGTACTAAGATGTTAAGATCCAGGGAAAAGAAACAGAAAAATGTGGAGAACATGGGCCTATGGTTTGTATCTATAGAGAGGAGAGACCTCTTTTCCAGATTATGTAATTGTTCTGAAATTGTGGTAATATGTGCCAGCTGGTCCATGCAGGATTAAGATCAGCCTCAGACTATGAAAATTAACTGACACAATTTCATTTTGTAGTTAATGAGGTTCATGCAAAGATCTTAAATTGCTAAGCATACAAGTCACTAGTCAGTACTTAACTTATCAAGGAGATAAATCTTATGAAAAACTCAACAAGCCCAGTTATTTTTCATAATTCCTGGATAGGTGATTTTAAAAACATGTTAATTTGTTACTGTGCTAACACTGACACTGAAATCTTAGGGATGACTTAGAAAATGGTGTGTGTTACTTTGGTGCATTTTTTTCTTCAGCCTCCAAGCATCTGTGTGTTAGATTGCATTCCTGGATTATACAAGGTTAATAAATAATGGTGTGCATATTTGGTTTTCCCTCCATCCCTCACAGTACTGATGTATAACAGTAAGGGGCTGCAATCATCAGTAAGTGAATCAGAGGTGAAGAACTTTTCATTAGAATTTTAAAAAGAAGTTTTGCATTACGAAAGGGACGTGGTGGCACTGCGGGCTAAACCGCAGAAGCCTGTGCTGTTTTCCCTCCGTCCCTCACAGTACTGATGTATAACAGTAAGGGGCTGCAATCATCAGTAAGTGAATCAGAGGTGAATAACTCTTCATTAGAATTTTAAAAAGAAGTTTTGCATTACTGTGTCACTATCTTCTTTGCCTCTCAGATGCTTAAAATGGAAAGGCACAACATCCAAAGAACTGTGGTAAAACACATGCTTTGCATGGAGATTCTGAGTCCCACATTTTCTTGTCGGCAACAGGCAAACCCCAGTACCTTACACCAAGCTTACCTTGGTACTTGTGGCCAGTTCATGCTTTAATAAGGGACATTCCTGGATTATACAAGGTTAATAAATAATGGTGTGCATATTCGGTTTTCCCTCCGTCCCTCACAGTACTGATGTATAACAGTAAGGGGCTGCAATCATCAGTAAGTGAATCAGAGGTGAATAACTCTTCATTAGAATTTTAAAAAGAAGTTTTGCATTACTGTGTCACTATCTTCTTTGCCTCTCAGATGCTTAAAATGGAAAGGCACAACATCCAAAGAACTGTGGTAAAACACATGCTTTGCATGGAGATTCTGAGTCCCACATTTTCTTGTCGGCAACAGGCAAACCCCAGTACCTTACACCAAGCTTACTTGGTACTTGTGGCCAGAAGCCTATTGCCAGTTCATGCTTTAATAAGGGGAATTATGTAACTTTTGGCAGCAGATTGCTTCTCATCAATTACGTAACTTCAGGCAGCAAATTGCTTCTCATCAATTTGTGTTCCTGGACATACACTAGGCCACTGGTTCTTAACCTTGGGTTACTCAGGAGTTTTGGACTACAACTCCCAGAAGCCTTCATTACCAGCTGTCCTGACTGGGGTTTCTGGGGGTTGCAGTTCAAAAGCATCCGAGTAACAAAGGTTAAGAACCACTGCACTAGGCCATGCAAGTGAGTGCATGACCAGGAATACAAGTAGCACCATATGAGTGAGTAGGAATTCGCCACTAAGATATTGGTGATTCTCTTTCATTGTCTTCTGTGATTCACACATTGGGTTCTGCAGCTACGTGGTGTAAGTCTAAAGAATATCTAGTTGCCCACTGAGACTTGGTACAATTTAAAACAACCCCACTGGCAAAGAGGAAATAAGCCAATTGCTGGGACAAAAGAATTGATGCTAGGCGTGAGTGATGTGAATGGGAACGTTTGACATGATTTTAAAAACAGCAAAATTGATATAACTGCAAAGCAGAAACAGTTGATTAATGCACAGACAAGAGAAAAGAACAGATGAGTTTACTGTATTAATAGAACCCTCCCTAGCTGCCACGTGGAGCTGCCATGCTAGAAGAGGGGGGCCAGCAGTTCAAGTGAGAAGTGTACAGTATTTCAGTTCTAAGCTTTTAGCTATAAAAGATAGACAAGACTAATAGAACCCTCCCTAGCTGCCACGTGGAGCTGCCATGCTAGAAGAGGGGGGCCAGCAGTTCAAGTGAGAAGTGTATTTCAATTCTAAGCTATTAGCTATAAAAGATAGACAAGAACTTAAATAATATTTAAATCCAAAAATAAAGGAGCTAATAGCCTAACAGGCAAATTTTAAAACTGA